TAAAATTAACAGATAATATTTTGTTTTTATATAGTTTATATAGTAGCAATTCTGTAACAACAATATCTTGTACCATGTTATATTTTGTTTCTTTTAAAATATTAAGAGTAAAGTTTTGGAGATTAGTAAGAGACATAATAATATTAGAGAAGTATAGATAAGTTTTTTATAATTTACTTAGCTTATTTTATAGTGTATCTTTCATAACTAAAAAATAATTTTAGATTCAGATTTGGCGATTTGTTCATTTAAGAATTATTTAGTATGAACCAAAAACTGACTGATTTACTGACAATTGTGACTGATTTACAAATTAGCAATTTATTAACCAAATAAAAATAGCAATAGTGATTTAATCAATATGATTCTGGTGAAGAAATAGATTAGTAAGTTTTTTATATTTTTTTATACAATTCAAATACGAATTAAACCAATATACTTATCTGTTTATATATATTAATATGTGTCAGAGATACTAGCTTTGCTATAAAGCTTGATAATTAATTTTACTTTTTACTTTACGCTTTAGAATAGGGTGTTTCATATATATAACTTCTATTCTCAAACTAGATATGAAATCAATATTTGAAGTACTCAAATCAGAAGTTGTAAAGATATTTAATCTGCGATATAATAAATCTTTTGATTTCCTAGGAAGTATTTTGTAAAAATCATGAATATCTCTTTTATTAACTAATATTATAGCCCTTGGCTTTTTTCAGTTTTTGATACTTCAGATCCATTGAAATCTTTAATATACAGAGTTGTTCTTACAAACGCATCCTCTGTATTAATTACAATTTCAGATATATATGTTTGAAGTTCATCATTATTATACTTTCTACTATAAAACCAATTATTACTTAGTAAAATATAGTTAAGTGTTTTAGGATTAGATTTTTCTATGAGTACTTCAGTTAGAATCATGATAGATTTTTTATTACTAAGACAGGTGTTATTTTTTATATTAGAGATAAATATAGATAAGATTATAGTAAATCCAAGTAGAGCTGTAGTTTCTTCTTTAACAAATTTACTATTTTTTTTTTTAGAAGTCAACTTTCTGCTAATTATGCTACCAATTTTCTTGAGAAGTTTATTACTACACATAGAGATTCCTAAAAATCCTAGTTCAAATGATAATTAACTTTTTGTATTCCTACTTTAGCTTTGACTATCTTCACTTTTATGATAACAATTTATATTATATATTATATATCTTTAGCCAAAAAAAGTTAACAGTTAATTATCTGTCCTAAACTCCTTACTATGAAATCTCTCAGAAGATACTATTAAATAAATTATTCTATTCTGAGTCAGTTATTTCTGATGATATTCTGATATAATTACTGAATGCAGAAATAAAATCATTTCATCAATTATACCAGTAAAGATTGGATTAGATAGAAGCAGATATGAGCTTATAGGATTCTCTTCTAGATTCTGTTTATTAGATGTATTTTCACCCCCTGCTCTGTGTGTTGTCATCAGATCAGAATCAGAAGTATCAGACGATTCAGAATTAGACTATTCATATAATAAATTGTAATTTTCAATATGTATACTTGAATTAAGTTGTTTTACAACTTTCTTACTAAAATTTTTTTTACAGCTATCCAAATTAAGATATTTTAAATTAGGATACAAACAGGCTATTTCTTTAATAGTTTTATCAGAAATGTTATAAAATCCAAGTTCAAGATGCTAAAGTTTGAGATATGATCAAATAATATTACATACTAATAGTTCAGTAATGAATCTATATCCTCTAAGATCAAGATATTCCAATTCATAGCATATACTAGCTACTACTTCAACAACCTCATCTCTGATATCATTACTAGAAATATCAAAATATTTTAAATTTGGAAAAGATTTGATAATAGCTACAATAAAAGAATTATTTCGAAAAGCTATAATATAGGCAAAATCAAGGTACTCTAATTTGAGGTATATTTGTAGTAATATACTAGCATCTTTGATTTTTCCTCAACTACTCTGTATATTTAAGCATCATAAATTAGAGTATGAGTTTAAAATACAACTTACAGTTCTATCAGTAATCTAATATGCTTCATTAAAATAAAATTCTCTCAAATTATGGCACGACTTTGTAATTTTTATTAATGATTTGTCAGTAATACTATTACAATAATAAATATTTAGATATTCCAATTTATTGCATGATTGTGCAATTTGACATAATCCTTCATCCTTATCATTCGATTATCCTATAAATTAAGATGTTTTAAATTTAGATATAATGAAGCTATTTTAATTAATGTCTTATCACTAATGCCCACACTACTTTTAAAATCTAAATGAATTACATTCGAACAGTAATTTACAATGGATCTAATTATTTTATGTGTAATCGAATGATAATATGAAATTTTAAGCTTTTCAGGTTTAATGCATGAACAGGTTTTTTCTCCTCACATATCAGCTTTATGAAACTTTCTAATCACATTTGATATCATTCACAATAATTATATTCAACTAGGAAATAATATCTGTAATGAATATTATTACCTTTTAACTCAACTCTCCCCCATAGTAGTAGTATATAAACTTGTACCAAAGCTGATTAACAAACAAAGCAGAATAGAGGGATTGATCAATTTCTAAAAAATATAAGATCTGTTCTAGTAATTTAGGTAAGTTAAAAATATTTAGTTGTGCTATTCCCAAATAATATATATCTCTAATCAAAAAAAACTAATGTTTAGATAATTAATTTTGAGCATATATACTACATATTTTTAAATTCGTATTAATAAAATAATTTAATATTTATAATAACTAAAACTGATAAAGCCGTATCTCATATTACTAAACAGGTTTAGGTAAAAATATCTTTTATAATTATTGATTGCAGAGATAAAATCTTTTCTATCTAATGATAGAGCTTATTCATATTTTAATAGACCCTTTAAGTCATTGCTTTACAATAATATCGACCTTTGGCTTGCTTCATAAATGATCCACTAGGTCTATAAAGCTATTTAATTACTGCATACTGAATTACTTTAGCTAAATTTATTTGTTTTTTCCATAAACGATATGCTTGCTGGATAATAATCACTGATCGATTTTTTTATACAAAGTTACAAAATATATTACTTGAATTTTAAAATTCTTTAAATTTAGAGTGATTAGCTACAGATTCATTTCTAGTTAGATTATTTTTAATATAGAATACAAAGTTTTCCCAATAGTTCTTACTAATAATATCATACCCTAGTATTAATAAATATTTACATATATATTTGAGTGGATGATACTTCACAAATCATAACCAAGCTTCTGGCGTTTTAAAATTATTGATATAGTTTATACAATATTTGGTTAACATGTATTGGGTATAATTATTTTTTGTCTATTCTTTACAAATATCTTGAATATTAGATATGTTTATATTTCAATTTTATTAACTAAGACTCTTTATTTAATAAGCATGAGCTAGAAGAGTTAAAGACTTGATCCAAAGGATTATCACTAGATCTTCAATAGCAATTATAGATGATTTTTAACTTATAGATAAGTGCAGTTAGTACTATTTCTTTGAAATACTTTTATGCTGATTTTCAATTCATAGATTTAAAACATATGATATTGCCAAAAAATAATTATAATTTATTCTGAATTTTATTATGTATTAATATAATAAATAATAGCAAAGCTAGTACTAAAGTACATATTATGATACGATATTGACAATAAATAGTGTTCCTATGAACCTGAACTGAACTGAACTTTGGTTAGGTTCAGGTTCAGGTTCAGTTCAATAGTGAACTGAAC